CTGCTGGTATCTTGGACTTCTCAGTCTTCAGAACTGTGAGAAATAAATTTCTGTTGTTTCTAAATTTCCAAATCTAAGGTATTTTGTTATAGGAGCCGGAATGCACTAAGACACCATGGTCCTGGAATCAGCGTCAAACCCCACTGGGCAGGTGACCGTCACAGATGTGTGGAAGCACAGAGGCAAATGATAAAGGTGACTTGTGATCTATGACCAACAGTCCAGTGATTTTTTTCCACTAATTCAAAACTTGGGGCATACGGATTGTTTTCATGTTGATCTACAACGTGTTCTTTCCTGTGCTAGGCTAGAAAACTGCCTGGGCAGATGTTCAGCAGACTTTCAGCAGAAGAGTATAAAGAAATAGTGGCATTGAAATTTTAAAATGACTCTAAGTATAAGCTGTTAAACTTTTTAGTTATTTAGGAGTGGTGGTGGATTAACTAATGGGCAACTTGGAACGCGCAGCTGAACTGAATCAGTGTGGTCTGGGTGCGGAAGGCCCACCTGAGGACTGTTGCCAACAGCATGAAAAGAGAACTGGAGAGGGGGACTGTGGGCTGTTGCAGAAGCTTGCTGCGGGTGGTCTTCCTGATGTGAACGTGGCTGTTCTTGAAGGAGGAGCTCAGGGCCTCACTCTCATTCATTGGGAATGGCTGCTGTTCTCTGATCTTTGCTGTGAGCATCACTTCCTGGCATCAGTGTAGGTCCTTCAGCCTGGTGGTACAGATCCTTCTTCCTGCTGGTGCAGGCTTTCCAGCTTCCACCTCTGGTCTTTGGGCCTTCCCAGTGCAGATCTTTGATACGGACTTGCATGAGACATTGCCTCGGACTCTAGGCCGTCGGCTGGACTTGTGCGGGACTTTGCTGTGGGATCCAGGCCCTTGGCTGGATTCTTTGGGTCTCTATCATGTGGACAGGTCTCTTGCGCTCCCCTGGCTTTGACTTTTTGGATGAATATTCTAAAACAATTCTATAAAATATGTGTCCTATATTAAATCGATTCCCTGGCAAATCCTGACTACAACAGGGACAAATAATTGGTCTACTTTGCTTTTATGAAATGAATTGTTGCGAAGCACCATGGAAAGTTTTTCTGGCACCAATAAAGGCTCTTTTTCCCTTCCTGCATCGGTGGTGCATGCCCCTTCCTGCAAGGAAACCAGTCAGTAGACCCGGCCAGAGGGAAAATTACTGGGCCACACGATGAGGAGGAGGCGTAAGTCAGCCCTGCTCTCAGAGCCCTAGGAAAAGAAACTTCCCTCCGTGCATGAAAGAGGAGGATTGTGCTGGGGCCCCTCATCTGGTGCCAGCAGTCCCGTCAGCCTCGATTCAGAGCTGCGCTAGGGCCGCAGCAAGGTGACCGGGAGTTTGGGGCTGAGGTCAGGGAAAGGTCACTGCCAGAAAAATGAAACAAGTCAAAGGGAAGGAATCTTAGGAATGGTGAGGTTACTCACCCACAAAAGTCATGCAGTCTACAAGATGATACAGAAAAGAATTTTAAAGTGGAATGCGAAGTTCTAAGTTGTTCAAATAATCCTGCAAGCTGGTGCCAGGAGGCCTCAAAGCCTGGCTGTAGGATTCAGCATGTTGGCATTCGATGCCTGTAACTTCCTTTATTCCTTTGTCTCTGGCTTTTAGTTCCCTTGATTTCCTCCTGTCCCCTCTTTCTCTCCTTTCCACAGCCACCCCAACTTCAAAACCAAGGGAGAGACATTAAGTACAAAGATATTACCCTATTTCTTTTTTTAAAAATAGTTAATCTCTTTATTCATTTTATTAGTACATGTTTGCAGCACTTAATGATCACATTCCTCGTGGAGAGTTCGTACGCGTGGAGAACACATCTTAATTCTAGTTTCATCCCTTTCCCTCCTCCGCTTACGCCCCTCCCCCATCTCTTGGGCCCCTTCCCGTTTGAAAAAGTTCTATCTCCCTGTATCCTATCATCTATCTTTTATTTTGCTCTTTAATTTACTTATACTTTGGGTTTCTCATATAAGGAGAAGCCGTGCAATACTGAAGCTTGCGTGTCTGACTTGTTTCCCTTAACATTATGGTCTCAAGGTGCATCCATTTTCCTACAAATGACTCAAGTTTATCCTTTCTATGGCAGAGTAATACTCATTGTGTGTAAATGCCATATGTGCTCTACTCATTCACTGAAACGGGCTCTGAGCTGGCGGTCAGCGTTCCCTTCTTAACAACTTCCTGGTTTCTCCCTGGAAAGTCAGCCGGCCAGACCGCCTCTCAGTGATGACATTAGGTGGTGTCGGTATCTCGCAAGCGCAAGTCTTAAACCCTTTAAAGGTTAAAGGTGCCTGCATGTCTGGGTGTTTATTTGCTCCTTCATTACTTTCCCTGCCTCGTGTAGGTGGGTTGTATATGGATGTTCACAGGGTGGGTTCCGGTTACAAAGAGAGCTCATAGGAGGAATGAATAGAGATGCAGTTGCTTTCAAAAAATACTAAGTGGTATTTCTTTCCCTGAATGGCAAAAATACAAGCATGTCATAAATAAATCAACACATAAAACCATATCAGTTAAAGGTGTAAAAAGCCTAGGTATTCTTTGAAGAGGAATTTCATATTTTTTTTATTAAATTATTTTATTGGTACATTGTAGGTATACAACACAATTACATTTCTCATTGGGAACTTGTACCTTTACATGATGCATCTTGGTTCTTATTTTTTCCCCATTCCTAGTCCTCCCTTCACGTCCTCCACCCTTCCCTATTTACGAAGACTTTATTTCCATTTTTTCCATTTCTCATCATTTTTCCTTTCCCTTCTTTCCTTTCCCCTGCCTCTCCCACTATTCCCTACACCTTTGGACCTTTTCTTCCTATTTTGCTTTATCGATTATTCATTCTAATCATTGGTACATTTTAGGTATGCAATATAAGGACATTCATCATTGGAAATTGGAATTTCATATTTTAAATAGGTGACCATAAACTGGTGCAAGTCAAGTGTTCACGATTAATCTGGTTTCTTTTTCCCAGAGACAGAAAAATCACAGACTTAGAAAGTATTCAATTACTTCTTTTCAATGTGTAGAAAGATGGAAACGGAGTTTCAAAGTTTTGTTTTATACTTGTCAAGAATTCATACAAAGAAGTCAATTTTATACAAAATAATTTTATGAAATTATTTTTAAGAGAGTCAGTTTCTATAGATCAATTTCAGTAGGTCATATAACATAAGTTTTAACATGAGCTCCTTAGTTTTATTAGTGCATTATAAATTATTTATCTTACAAAAAATACATTAAAAGCAGAATTAGAATGTCTTTGGTTTATATAGCTCACAGTATTAGTTAAAATAATATAGTGCATGTTATACAGACAGAGATGTAAATGTGACCTAAAAGAATATTTCTGAGTTTCACATTAAACATTGAATAGAAAAGTTGACTTTATCTTAAAATAGAGCAAGTCACTACATCACTCTGCTACAAGCAAATGGTTCTTTGTAAATAAGGATGAACTGACAATGCTTGAAAGCGTAGTTCATCAAAATCACAACAAGAAACCAAATATTATGAACGTGTAAAATTCCATGTTTATTTAATATCCATTACAGAGCAGGTTCATTGAAACCAGACTTTGTAAAGACAAATAACATTTCTGATGAACATAAACAATTTCATACAGTGGAATTCCACACTGCGCTTTCACATGAATAAAGATGTCATTATGCAAGAGTTTCAGCAATAAAGACCTTGCCTGGAATCCTGGCGGCCCCTCTCAGGGCACAGCTGGGTGTCTATCCACTTCCGGCCTGAGCAGCTCTGCCCCGGGTCAGCTGCAGGGGTCCCCCCCAGGCCTGCGATGTGGGGTCGGTTCCACCCACACTTTTTTGGAGGACATCGCCAGAGCTCGAGGTGGGAATTCCTTGGACAAACACTGTTTTTGAAAAGTTAAAGGCACTATACAGACAATGTTAATGGGCTCACTCTCCTTAGTCAAAGAGAAGTATGAGCTGAGCATAACGTCAGTAATTCCTGGGCACTTCTACAGTTGCCCATATTAATTAAAGCCTGCTATGTGCCAGACATTGTGTTGAGCACTTTCCATTCCCTAGCTCACAAAATGAACATATAAGAACTTTAGGAAATTAGTACTATAATTATCTCAGCTCCAGAAATCAAGAATGTGGTGTCACAGGCATAAGCAACAGAAGTAGAAGGCGCTCTCTGTCATCAGACCCAACTGGGGGTGACCAGTAGCTTCCTATAGCCAACACTGTAGATGTTCAATAGCTTCCCCAAACCCATTCTCAGCATGTTTCTCCCTTGGTTTTCTCACTTATCGAGACTAGAAAAGGAGCATTTTCGGTATTCTTTTTTTTTTCTTTTGGGTACCGAGGATCGAACTCGGGTCCTTGTACTTGCACAGCAGGCGCCGGAACCACTGAGCTAAATCCCCAGCCCCAATATTTGGTATTCTTAAAGGAGTTCTTTCTTTTTGAGGATTTTTGTTTCTTAACAAAAAAAATTTTTTTAATTTTATAAAATTTAAAAAATTTTTATACATGTCTGCAATACATGATGTTTCCATTCCTTGTGTGGAGTTGGAACCAGAACAGAACACATCTTCGTTAGTTTTTCATCCTCTTTCCCTCTCCTCCCTCCCCTTCTCTGCATCTCTTCATCCTCTTCTCATTTGAGGAAGATCTATCTCCCTGCTTCTGATCATCTATCTTTTATTTTGCCTTTTGTTTATTCTTTGGGTTTCTTATATAAGAGAAACTATGTGATGTTTAAGCTTGTGTGTCTGATTTATTTCACTTAACATTATGGTCTCAAGGTGCATCCATTTTCCTGCAAATGACTCCACTTTGTCTTTATGGCAGAGTAGCACTCCAGGGTGTGTAAATATGTTTTCTTATCTATTCATCTGTTGATAGACATATGTTGATAGACATTCAGCTATTATGAATTCTGCTGCTATAAAAATGTTATGCATGTATCTCTGTAACATGATGACTTTAATTCTTTCAGGAAGATACTTAGGAGAACAGCTTGGTCAAATGGAGTTTCTAGTTTCAGATTTTTTAGGAATCTCTATACTGATTTCCAAAGTGGTTGTATTAGTTTACATTCCAATCAATAATGTAGGTAGCTCCCTTTCCCCCCACATCCCTGCCAGCATTAGTTATTATCTGATTTCTTGATGGTAGCCATTCTTTCTGGGTTAAGATGGAATCTCAGTGCTGTTTTACTTTGCATTTCTCTAATGGCCAGAGATGCATAGAGGGGAAAGAAAGGATGATGGGAAAGGAGATTTAAAACGGAACTAAGATCTATTGTGAACATGTACCAATTCCCCACAAATAATGTAAACATTATATACCACAAACATGCACTAATAAAGAAATAATGAACGCCCCCTATAGGTGCTTACTGTGGTATTCATGACTCCTGTGCCATGTGTTTGAATTAATAGCAATATTTGCAATATTGCTTTCTCATTCAGTAAAAATCTGCAATGAAACAAAAAATCTTTATTAGTATATGTTTGGAATACATAGTGATTACATTCAGCATGGAGGATTGATACATATACACATAGAATCTTGATCATTTTTAGTCCTCCTTCCCACGTTCCACTTTCCCCTTTCCCTCCTTCTTCCGGCCCCTTCCCATCTGTACAGAATGACCTCCCTGTTTCTCAACGTATCTCTTTTAGATTGCTCTTTATTTATATTTTGAATCTCTTGTATTAGAGAAACCATGTCATATTTCACCTTCAGTGATTAACTTATTTCACTTAGTGTGATGGTCTCAAGAGCTATCCATTTTCCTACAAATGACTCAAGTGTATCCTTCTTTATGGCAGAGTAGTATTCCATTATGTATAAAAACATTTTCTTTATCCATTCATCTGCTGATGTCCATGTAGGACACTTCCATGTTTAGTTATTGTAAGTTGTGGCTGCTATAAACATAGGTAGGTATACATGCATCCCTGTAATATGAAGATATTAGCTCTTTCAGGGAGATTCCTACAAGGGTTAAACCTTAGTCAAATGGAATTTCTACAATGTTTTTTTCTTCTAGTTTGTACACTACAAACACAACACAATTTTCTTTTCTCCTAGGAATGGCCATGAGGTGGGTCATGAGCAGCAACTTGTAAGTTGCTCTTTGGGGCTTCCAAGAGGCTTTTTAGAGGAGACAGACTTGTGATCTCTTCATGAGTCCTCTTACCCATTCTGGATTATCCATCCTCAGACTTCTTGAGTCTTGAAAAAATTTTTTCTTCTAGGCCATGTGTCTTGGGTACTTTTCTCTCATTGCTGAGATAAAACACCCTTTGACAGAGTGATGTTAAAGACTTCTGTCTAGAGGATAGATGCAGTGCTCTTGCATGCATATGTGTAGTCTCAGAAAGCTTAGCTCTTGGTAGTAGAGAGGAGAGGAGAGTATTGGTTGCCAGAGGTCAGGAAGTGTAGGGGAGAGAGCAGATGGAGAGAAACTGGTTAATGAGTACAAAGTCACAGGAGGAATAAGTTCTGGTGTTCTGTTACACAGGGGTGATTGCAGCTAACAATATTGTATCACATAATTCAAAATAGTTAGAGGAGAGGATTTTGAATGTTCCCTTTATAAAGGACTAAGTGTTTCACATGATAGCTAGCTTACCTCAGTATTGCCAGTTGATCAATACACAAAGTATAAATGTATACAAATATCACACTGTACCCCATAAAGATGTGCAATTATCATCCATCGACTTAAAAAAAAAGACTTCCATATAGTCTCTAAAACATTTTTCCTTTGCTTCACTATATGAAGCAATGTCACTATACAAAGACATCACTTGGTTGGACACAGTTATTAATGAAAGCAATGATTCCTATTAGGGTGTAAGTTTCCTGAAGACAGTAATCATGACTTATAACTTTGAACAGAATAGGGTTTTTGAGCCAGGTAACTTTCTATTGATCTAACAATTTATCAGTCCAAATGACTTATGTCTTTCAAGGTGCAATCTTGTTAGCTTTCACCATCATTCATTAAATATCAGGCTTGAGGTCTAATGAAACAATTGTGAACAGAGACAAACCTGTATTGTGGCCTCTAACATGAAAGTGTACCACTCCCCACATACTTTATCAATTGCTGCTTACTCTAAACTCTTCAGTATATTAAACACCTTCATACATTATCATTAATTCTCTCTACAACTCTGCAAAGTGGGTGTCACTAGTGCAGCACAGAAGGGAAAATCAAGGGCCAGAGATCTGACAAGCATGAATACTAAATAAATCCAGAATGTCTTAGCCAGTTTGAAACCAGATTGGTTATATTCCAATGCTTGAGCTCTTTGCATTCCACATCCTGTGACTCAGAAGAAATGCAGATTCTGGATTTCTGGGGGGTAAAAGGGAAAAGTGAAGAAAATCGTCTATCTAGTTTGATAGAAGTTTGGGGAACCTTAATAATTCAGACCCATAATGTAAAAATTACTTATTGCTGGTAAAAGTAGACAGTAATAATGCCCAATGTTGATAAGAAACCCACAAAAGACATCTTTACTCTTCACAACATTCCTCTAAGGTCGCTATCATTACCTCCACTTAGGAACACATGTTGAAATGCAGAGAGGCAAATTATTTTTCTGAGTATCACACCCTGAGCCCCAGAACTCCAGCCTCAGGGTTCCTCTGGCTGCACCATCGGGCTCCATTTGCCATGTTGTTTTGCCTGTATGTCAATGAAACAAAGGTTAAGGAAAAAGGTGAAGGTGTGGACTAATCATCCTCTTTAACCTACTTGCTTTCTGCTGAACAAGGATTTATTTTTTTCCTTTCAAATGGCATCTTCTGAGATGTCACTCTGATAAAGCATGGACTCAATGAGGCTTGTCCTCTCAGTGAGCTTGCTTGGGTAAGAATTACAGTGCTTTTCGGAAGCTCTTTGGTTCGCACTTGGTTTTCAGCATCTTTTCTCTCCTCTTTAAAGTCTTTTTAAGAGAGCAGTGAGGGATCACTGTAAGGACTAGAAGAGCTCTGGGATATTTGACAGTTACCAGGACTCATGTTCAGGTCACGAGTTCAAACCCAAAGAGGTCTGGTTCTCTCTTCTGCTGACCTGTAATTTCAAGCAGCAAGACCTGTCTAGTATCTTTAAGCTATCACATCCTACCATAGAACCATTTCCCCACCTTGATTTACAGGAGTCACCTAAGATTGTTAGCACTGAGAACTCGCAGGTTTGTAGCCATCAGTGACTCCAGCAAGCACATGCTTAGGAGCAGGAGAGCTAGATATACATGAACAGGTGAGGTGGGATAGTAGTGCATGCTCCTTAATAACTTTTTCTAAATTTAGGAAATGTGGGAGTAGGGCAGGTAGCAGAAAGAACAGCAAAAAAGTGAGATGGTGATACAAGAGTGGACAGAAAGAATGATTGAATGGGGCCTTAGCTAATCATGGAACAAAAAAGTCAGATGCCGCATGTGTCAGCTCTGGAGACCAGAGGAGCCTTGTTATGAAGGTGCAGGTCAAAGCAGAGGCAGTTAATCTAGCACTCCAGCATCCTTACTTGCTTTCGGATTAAGTGTCTTAAGCATTGTCTTTAGGTGTTGTTAAGGAAAAATGACTAAATCAGGTAGAGTCCACCATATCCGCAGAGTGTATTCTGGTTCCTGGAGTGGATGCAGCCACAACCAGGTCCCTCACAGGTCGGTGTCTTTGAAAAGGCCTCCTTCTGTTCGGTTGTACCATGCATCACATATTTCTCACTTCATTCCTTCTTCCTGTTGTGAAAGAGTAAATGTTTTTGCTTCACTGTTCTCACTAACAAATAATGAATAATGTAAGGCTCACTACAGACTTCTGGGCTGCAACCTGTCATCCCATTTCACAGATGAGAAAACTACCACAGGAAGACCTAGCAACTTCCCCAAGGTTGTGTACTTAGGGAAGTTAGAGTTCACGCTCAGGTAGTCTTCCTTAAGACTTGTCTCCCAGCAACCACACAACAATTCTTGGTTATTTAATGCAGTTAAAATAGTTTAGTTTTCTAAAAATATAACTGCAATACAAAGCTGTAGTTATATTTGCAAGCATTTGGTAAGACCATGGATGACCCCCTTAAAAACCAAAATTGTGGGCCGGAGATTTAGCTCAGTGGTTCTGTCGCCTGCCTTGCAAGCACAAGGACCTGAGTTCAATCCCCGGTACCAAAAAAAAAACCACAAAAAAACCCCAAAACCCCAAAAAACCAAAATTGTTTGATATTAAGAAACTGATTTAATTCCTAAAGTGCTTTGATATAAGATTACACTTTCTAGAAATAAAAGATGATATTCTCTTTCCTAGAGAAATATAGACATTCATGAAGAACTTTTGGAAATGTAATATTTTACTTGATTTTGTTCAAAAAGTTGAGCTAGAGTTAAATGGGGTATCACTTTGAAGTATGTTTACTTTATAAATAACAAAAGACTCCAGTATTGCTACCACCCTTTCTAGGCACTGCAAACATTGTTTCTCTTAATGAAAATGCTAGTTCCGTTTGTGGCATTTCAAAGTGGAAAGCAGAGGCAGTACTTTGGAGCTAAACATACACATAATTGGAAAAGGTGATGATGAACTAGACCATGTTCACACGAGCATTTGAAATAATGGCTCGTGAGTGCTGTAGAATATTTTTCCCTTTTAAGTGGAATCTTGCACAGTACCTGATTGGATCATTTCTTGGTGTCTTGTTCATGCTATCAGTCTCCTGGCTAAATAGGAAATCTAGTCCATATCACCATCATTTTTCAGGTCAATTTCACTTCTTTAACTGGATGCATAGGTGAAATAAAATCTAAATATTTCTCAATTTGTTTCATCATATTTTGAAATCAGAATCTAAATCACTGGCAATTAGAGTGACAAAGATCTCAACAGAGCAGAAAAATGTATGTGTGGCAGGAGTGGATCCTGCGTCTCCCCAGCCCAGCCAGAATCCATTCACAGTGGTGATAAAAGTTTTGACATCAAGTCTACTAAATATGCTCTCTGGAGAAAAAAAAAAAAAAAGAAAGAAAGAAAATTGGAAATGAAGTGGACTTTCCTTTACTGCATATTTATTTACCAGTCAGTCATAGAAAACCCAAACTCATTTCAGGCTTCTTGAAAAGTAATCCATAAAATGATTTAACATCTCTTCTAAAGCGTGTGCGTATGGCTAGAATGCTGAATATCACCCATAGGGGAAAAAAAGGGAGCAACTTTCTACACTTTTTTGGGAAAAGGGCCATTTTGACTGGATTAGTTTGTTCAGGCAGCCATAACAAAATACTGTAGACCGGATGGCTTGGACAGCAGCATTCTCTTTTCTCACAGTGTTGGAGGCCAGAAACTTTTTTGAAAGTGCCAGATGATTTGGTTTCTGCTGAGCCTCTCTTCCTGGGTTGGAGACTGTCAACTTCATGCCACGTCCTTCCATGGCCTTTCCTCAGCATGTGATTGTGGAAGGAGAGAGAGAGAGAGATCTTTCTTCTACAAGGACACTAATCTCATTATGAGGACCTCACCCTAAAGACCTGCTGACCTGTTCCTAGAGCCCTAATTTCCTCCCCATAGCCTCTGCCCATTAAACCATTACATGGGAGTTAGGGCTTCGACATGTGAGTTTGGAGGAGGGCATAAAGATTCTGCTCACAGCATTGACCAAGACTACTGTGCAGCAAGCCAGTGAGTAAACTGCAAACATATTAGCCTGCGACTTTTTAAAGAGCTTTCTTACAGTTTCATACTTCAAGTTCCATCTCTGGCCTTAGTAAAAACATAAGCTCCTCACCAATATATTCCAGATACCAAAGAAAACACTAGCACAAAGAACAGTAAAAGAAGTGGTCAAAATATTATCCCGAAACTCCTGGCATGTATAGCCCATGAACAGGCTCTGCATTACATAAAATAATCAGTCATCAGTGGCAATATCCATTCTCCCTGCTCTGGCAGGAGCTAATCATTTTCTTACTAAATTAAATATGCCCATCCAAAAGAGAACTAGTTGTGATGAATTGCTCTGATGGGTACTTTCCTGGAGTAGGAAGTGTAGGCAGTGGATTCTTTGACTTCGCCCAACTGGGCAGAAGATCGAAGTATTTTTCTAGTCATGTTCTTGATCAGTTATTTCCATGACATCCTGGCATTTCCAGACCACTCCATGTGATGGCTAAACTGGTCTTGTATTCTATGAGAAAAAAAAAGCCTGCACAACTAAAGGGTGAAATTCCCACTGGACTGATTTCTCTTAAACTTGAGACTTAACCATTCCCGTTACTACAGTGACACCTGAAAGTGAGCATCGTGTGTAAAGTCCTCAGATTGCCTTCTGGCACATTAAAATATTCATACCATCTCAAACAAGAGCATCCAAAAGCAGGAATTAATCTCTCTGTTCCTCTCTCCCTCCCTCCTTCCTTCTCTTTCAGCCCCATCCCAGAACCTAAGAGATTTTTCCGTGGATGTCTGAATGAGTGGATGGATGGACCTAACATGGACACTCTGCTGGACAGTGATTCTTTATCACCTACATGTAAAATTACTATCATAAGGCAAGTAAAAAATGACAATTCTACTGCTGTTTTTAAATATACAGACATTTCATGCCATGCCAAAATGTCTCCCAATATAAGGGTCCTTTCTGAGAGAACTTTGCTACCTTGCATAATCATTCACAAAAAAACACTGGCCTCCACATTTATATCCTCACATCCCTGCCTCTATGTGAGTTGAAAAACCCATTCTGAATCCCACGGTTTAGATCCAATATCCTTGGGTTTACTGAATGATTTCATAAAGCATTATAATAGCATCTACACTACAATACTTAAGCACCTTACAACATGTTCTTTCATGAACTTTGTGTTTTGGGACAAAATGACCAGGTCACAGAATGTCAGCTCATTTCCCTGCTGACAATTCTGTGACCTACCTGAGATTTAGGAGAAGGAACATTGTGAAAATATTATTTAAGTAATACTAAAGCAATTAATCAGTGCATCAGTTTAAAATATCACTATCATAACAAACTAGACTTCTTAAAGAACTTCAGGAGAGAAAACTCTTTTTGATGAGCTTGACTTTAAATTTATGTTTTTGCAGAATTCAAAGATCAATTGTCATTCATCTTCAAACAGTTTGAGGTATTGTTTCGTAAGCTTAGAAACCTCCAACTTTTACACTTTTGTCCTTCTGTCTAATTAATAGTATGACCAAACATTACAATGAATGTTTAAATTTTAAAAAAGTATTACAGTAAAAAACACATTGCAATTAACCCCCTCAAAATACTCCCCTTCACTTCAAATACCCTTATGCTATCATTCGCAACCCCTTCGAAAGCAGTTCTGAAAGTCCTGTTTCATGGGCCAGGGATTTAGCTCAGTGGGTCGGCTGCCTGCTCTGCAAGTGCAAGGTCCTGAGTTTGATCCCTGGCACTAAATAAATAAATAAAAGTCCTCTTTCGTGAGCGTCTTTAGTTGAGCTGTCATGGCTGCCTGTACATCTTGGATCCATTCAAATGTTTGCCTTTCATGATCATTTTAACTTTGGGAAAGAGCCAGAAGTTGCATGGAGCCAGTTCTGGTGAGAAAAGTGGATGAGGACACACTGTAAGGTTTGTATTTGACAGACATTTCCATAAATATTTGATCAGTGTGCTGTGATCCAAAAATACATTGAACGATTAAATTAAACATTGATTACAGCACAGGTATTCCTCATGTAACAACCTATCTGTTTAATGACTGTTCAGACTTATCCCTGGGGCTTCCTGTTCAGATTTACAACCTGCCATTTGGACTTATGACCCATCTGTTTTTTTGTAGTCCTCCATACATCTTCTTTATAGAGCCTTAATGTCTTCTTTTGATACAGTACACTTGTTTGTACAGTATTGTAATTTTTGCTGGTTGTACTGTACAATACAGTACTATAGTTTTATCTTCTGTTATACATTGTTATACATATACTGCATGGGAAAGTTATGAAAATACAAGTAGAGTCATCTAGTTGGAGTTTCCTTTGACCCTTCCTCTGTTCTGAATATTAAAATGTACATACTACGTACAACTCCTCATTTAGGGACAAATTTAGTTAATGACCTAGATGCAGGACTGAAACTCAGTCATTAAGCAAAGAATGTCTGCAAAGACACATTGCCATTAACCTCCCTCTGAATACTCCCCCTTCCTTCGCACTTACGTTGCCTCAGAACATTATTCTTAACAATGTGTCTTTTATCGTAATAAGTTTTTAAAATTCAGACCTTGATTGTATTTTCAATCACCCCTTCCATTCCCTCTGTGTGAAAAATTCTTGTCATTTCCCCTAGACAACATCTAGTACCACAGCCAGTATGATCTCCTCCATGACATCTTTCAGAACTTCTTCATTACAATGAACTCTTGTGATTAATTTTTCTATCAAGCTGCTATAAACATGATATGCATATATCTCTGTATTATGATGATTTTAGCTCTTTCAGGAAAATATCGAGAAGGGGAATCACTGGATCAAATGGAATTTCTAGTTTTAGTTTTTTGGGGAATTTCCATATAGATTTCCATAGTGGTTCTACTAGTTTCATTCCCACCAACAGCACAGAAGGCTTCCTCTTCCTCTCCAGCCTCTCCAGCATTCGTTATTACATAATTTCTTGATGATAGCCATTCTTCTGGGGTAAAATGGAATCTCGGTGTTGTTTGATTTTCCATTTCCCTAAGGGGCAGCCATGTTGGACATTTCTTCATGT